ATGCTGAACAGACGGCCCTAGTCATAACAACCGGGCACTTACTTTCAGGACTGACTAATCCCTCCTGGAATCTTTTCCGGCTGAAAATCGGAAAAACATCATGCAGCTTTTAGCGGACAGCCCTGATGACAGACAGTTCACTGCAGTGCAGGACCCTGTCCTGGTGTCTCAGCTACCAGGAATTCAACCTTATGAGGCAATGAGCAGCTTTCTTTTTAGTGACCCACTGCTGTATGAGATCAGACTTTAAGAAGTCACTGAAGCCTTAGTGGTGACCTCTTGAATTATTGATGCTGCCACTTAATGAGGTATGTGTGGGAGGGGAGGGGGATCCTTCTTTGTTTATCAAAAGGTTTGGCATGAATACAGTAAAGGAAAAGCCTGAGAAAAGACAGCAAAAATTGTAGGTGGTTGGAACAGGATCACATACATTCCACTTAGAACCCTGGCCTGGTTTGGTGTCTGTGTGCAGGTGGTTCCCTTCTACAGTAATTGTTCTCAGAGAGGCTCTGTGAATGGAAAAAGGCAGCAGAGATCTACAGTGTCCATACAGAGGCAAAGACCTTTCATAGGGTTGGCTGTGGCTTCTAACAGCTTGGTGGCTTTTGAAGCAGATAGAACTGCATCCTATCACACCATGTCTTGATCTGATACTCGCAGAGTGTGTTTAGAAGAGTGACTGAAGTCTTTTAACTACAAAGTAAGTCCACTCATCTTTGATAAAAGACACTGCTGGGGACTTCTGTCCCTAAAGAGGTCACCACAGGCTACAAAATGGAGAATGAACAGGTCTTCTGCACAAGGCACATTTAACATGTTGCCATAGAAACCAGTTACCTAATTCAGCCATACACAATTCTTCCAGCCCCCCAGTGAATTCCAGTAATGGGTTTATTATATCACACTTCATTGGTGTCATCTGTCACACAGACATAAATGGATCAGCCTTTGATTTAAAACTACCCTCCACTAGCCAGACCCAATAGTAGAAGTGACTTCTTTTGGATTTTCTGGTTAAAAGCAGGTCAGTGTCAGTGTTATACCCAGCTTTGCATGCTAATGTCTTCCTTTCATGCATACATCATCGCCAATGGAAGAGAACATTTGTTTTCATTTCCCAATATTTCAGTTTATTAAAAACGTGCTCTTAATTTCTCAGATCCTTGACTGCACATGCTGTCAGGATGCAGGTTGAAACATTCTGGTCCCTATTTCCCCCAGCTGCTGTTTGAACTGTAAGTCACACTAACGACTCAAACAATGTTGTGGTCATTTCTCCTTTTGTTTGGGCCAGAGTTTTGATTTGTGTTAGCTGACCTGAAGGTTCGTTTTAGGCTTCAACCTCATCTGTTACCCAGAGAAACTGGAGGCTTCACTGTGCTACCTCAACACACCACTTTCTTGGAAGGAAAGACTCTGTAACATGCTTATTGGGTTATGATAAGCAAATGGGACAGAGAAAAAGCCTTGATTTTTAAAACCAGTTTGACTGCTGTATCCCTAATTAACTTGACCTATCAAGGTGTGATTTGAACCCTTTACATGATGGTTGGAGCCAGCTGTCAGTGTGAGCTGGCCCTGACTCAGCTACAATTTGGAGACAAAGATGAAAAATTGTATCAGAACTGGCACAGGCCTATGGAGACGCAGGTTTTTGGCATACTCAGTAAAAACAAGGACTTCTAATGAAGAGTGGCAAGACACCAATGTATCATGCTCAAGTGGCTTGCAGATGAAGACCAATGAAAAAAATGCTTGCAGAGATTGGAACATGCTTTGTAGTTTGTTTCTTTCCTTGCTGAAATTCAAAACATACTGTATATAGTATTACAAACAATAAGGAAGCTACATGTCTAGTACTTCTCCTAGTTAATGGCAGGGCTGCTAAGCTGAACTGATGAAGTTTAAATTAATGGGTGTCAGGCCCACTATTCACTTTTAGATTTCAGCATTATATGACTTTGGGCGATTATCTTACCTGTATAAAAATGATCTATGAAATACATAACATTGTTGAGGGTGTGTGCAAACTAATGGACAGTGATGGACAACCTAGAGAAGTAGAGGGTCCTTATTAATATCTAATGGCAACAGTGAATGAGGAAGGAATAGTTGGTCAAAACTGAGTTTGAAAACTGGATCTCTGGAAGTGGAGCAGGAAGTTTGTAAGACCCCATAACCAATGAGCTAATAGTGTGGGTTTCATTGTGGCTGAGAAACAAATACTCAGATTGATATCCTGTGAATTCAGCTGATGGAGATTCTTATTGGAAGAGATGGACCAGATGAAGCACATGTTTTGTAGGCAACTGGTAGAGAATAAATTGCTCTGACTCCAAGATCTGGAAGTATCAATAGATTTAAGGTTTTATTTTGCCAGAAGAATTAAAATGGGGGGACCCAAGACCTGAGATTCTAGCTGCAAAAGTGCAGGAGCAAGGAATATAATAAATGTTAGAGTAAATGAAAACTGCAAAAGGGACATTAAAAAGTCATCCCCTTGCACTTCTATGGCGTTTGTTCCCCAAAGCATGACACCATCTGTCTCAGCTACGGCTCATGTGAGATGGAGATGTGTGACCCTGACAAAAGGTGAAAGATAAAAGGATAATTTACAAGAGAAGGCAATGCAGCTTAATTTAATGATGCACTGTGGGTTTCTGTGACATTGAAACATCACCCACCTCAGTGTATTTTGCTTCCATTCTAACCTCCTCAAAATTTCTGCTGAAAGATCCTGAAGTGCTGATTCAGGGACACGTATCTCAAATTATAGATGCATGTAAGTTACTGCAACTCTACCACCTTCTCTGCTTCTACCGACATTCTCAGTTCTGGAAGCCAACTGGCCAGAAGTCTTTTCTGTGATATGTCTCCTATAGGTTTTGAACTTGTTAGTAAGCTACCCCCTTTGTTGATTCCTTTTGTGCCCTGTTAAAAAGGAATTTGTATCTCTTTTGAAAGTGAATAGAACAGTGCCCAAGAAAAAACTGACTGTTAGGCAGTAGAAATGACTTTGACTTCCTCAGTAGAGAAAACTGACATTTATCTCAGGGCATTAATTAGCAGTTAAGTTGAAAACAATTTTGATCATTTCAGGAGTGTCAGCTTGTGATGTTAGCTCCTCAGTTCCCCAAGGCTTATCCAACATCAGTAACTGGATAGGTCAGAGTAGGTAGAGTGACAGTAAAGAAGCAGGGAACACCGCATAAAGTACTGGTGGGGATTCAGCTTCAATCCACCTCAGCTGAGAGTCAGTGCTCGAGGGGACGTGCTGGTCATATCTGTGAGATCTTTATAGTAAGTTATAAAACTGGGGTTCTAAGATTCATAGGCAAAGCTCCCTTGAGACTTGTACTAAGAGTAGCAGTGTCACTCAGGCAAATCTGATCAGGTATAATTTTAAATAACTAGACTCTAGCTTCTCATATTTTCATTCACAAAAGAACTTGCTGCATCATACTGTTTACCTGAAAAGTCTAGTGCTCTTACACCTTTTTCATAGCAGTATTTCACGGATTGGTTAAGAGGTCTCTGTACAGTCTATCCAGAGCCTTAGAATCCATTTGGGTTTGTTTGCTGTGAAGCAGCATTTGTCTTGCCCTCTGTTAAGTTGCTGTCTGGATGTCTGTGTGCTGCTTTGAAACTTCAGCTCTCCATCCCATGGAGGAAGTGACCTCTGCAGGTATTCAATTCCTGTTCAATTCATTAAAGCTTTTGGGGAACCCTGCAGGGGTATGGCCTGTACATTTATGAACATTCTTACTGTTTATTATTGTTTTCTAACATCTACCACTACAGCACAGATTGATTAAGTGTGCACGTATTCATTTCAGTGTGGTTGCTGCCTGAGTTGAAAGAATCATTTTGACACCTGTAATCACAAAGGCTTGTGTTGGATGAATGTTTTATTATTTGATTTTCTGCCAACCAACTCTCAGATTTGTTTTAGCAGCAACACATGGTCTTAATGATGTTCCTCAAGGTTAAGCAAGCATGAAAACCAACATAGCGTAGGGCAACAAAGAGATACTGTATAGAGAAGGAAGAGTTGTTTTTTGTTTACGGCCAAACCATTTGTCTCAAACACTGGATTCTACTCTCTATTCCACCAGAATGAAGTCTTGTTCCACCACAAACCACTTCACCTTTCTGTGATAGTTTTTTGCCATCTGTGAAATGACAACAGGACCCTTAATGTGTGCTGAAGATCTTTAAATAGATCCTGAAAATACTTCCAGATTTTCAATTGGAAGGCACAGAAGAGTAAAAAATCCTAATAGCTGCGTAGATTCTATACTGACGTGGCAAACTGTAATCTCTCAACAGGAGACATTTGGATGTATTTGACTTAAATGTGTTCTAATAACTGACTAGCAGAATTACTACTCCGGGAACAAGACAGTAGTTATATGATTTGCTCCAGATTTCTAATACACAGAGATGTTTTCCAGCTTTGCTGCACAAATATTAACTCAGTGTCTCCTTACTGTTGTTTTTTCTGTCTAAGTAAGTACACTAATTTTTCTTCTGAAGACTATTGGAATTGTTTGCATCACACCTGAACTTAATTTGCAGTGTACTATTAATGCCAAACCTGTGTGATCAATTCCAGACATGGAAACCAAAAGGACTACGACTTCTCTAAGGAAGAGAGAAAGAAGCAAAAGGATTCCAGTCTCTGGCGAGGTTATAGGAATGTCTCATAATCTCTAGGTGTGCTTTTCTATCTCCTCTAAAAAAAGATACCAATCATACTTACCTTCCTTCCCATCTAAATTGCTTTGAGATGAATGAATTAAAAGTGTTGTAATTAAAGTAAGTGTCTGATTGTAGCAGAAATGCTAAGTCAGGGCCTGAACAAGAGATTGAGCACCTGGTGGGAAGGCAGGGCCAACCCAGGGAGCTCAGGTGCATGCAATACAATGCAATGCCCCTGAGTGACTGGAAGGGTGGAACCAGAATCCAGCCCTTCATTTAAGGGTTGGCAATGGAAGCAAGGCAAGGGTATCTTGCTGGAGGTCCTTGCCTGCTTGAGGCTCTTCTAAGGGTAAGCAGATTATTTTTTTCCCTTTGTTTCTGTGTCTATGACTGCTGCATTTGGGCTTCTCACTTGCTGCAGCCTACGACTTTGCTACCCTCCTATTACTGTTGTGCTTTTCATTGCATTATAGCGTTACACTGATAACATCAGTAATGTTTTTCTTGGGAATTTTTCAGAACAATTGTATACTTATTTTAGAGAAAAGCCTTCTGCTTATTTAATTAAAGTATTCATACTAAGGGAGGACCCTTTCCTCCAGTTCAGTAGTGAAGCCTGGCTACTCTATCCCCCTTCCTGTCTTGTTTATGGCTATGTACAGTGTGAGATGATAACCCTAGCAGGAATGGTTCCATTAAGTGTATGGTGAAATATGTATTTGAATCATCTGGGGCCTTTTATATGGGAAAAAAAAGCATTAAAAAAAAAGACAAGACCTTACAGGGTGCTGTTCATGTCACCCTAAAAGTGATAAACAGAAAATCAGGTTCTACCAATGTAGAATTTTACTTCAGTTGTTATTGGCTGCGTTGTAAAAATAGGCAATGTTAATCCTATCCTCTGCAACACTCACAAAAGGAATTCAAGTATTTTCAATTTAAGTATTTTCACTGATATTGTTTATTTTTTCTTTCCCTTTATTTCCTTAACGTAAAGATTTTGAGGATGGCTCACCTTTCTCAGCTTACGTGCACAGTATCTCTCTGAGCACATGCTTTCCAACTTCCACCACTCTTGAGCTGCTTGACATTAAGCTTTGTCCAAACCCCAGTTATTGCTTACCTCTCCTCTGGTACAGGGTACTGCATCTGAATATCTGGAAGTGCACATGGAGCCTTCCTCAGTGAGGTCATCCTGGAGCCCAAAAGTCGCAGTACAGTTGACAGAGAAATATTTGTAGGGCCTCCACGTCTGCCCATAGTCCTGGGACCTTTCCAACACCATCGCAGCTGGGCGAGGTGACTTGAACACAGCAATGACGTGTGTTAGGTAGAACTCTGTTTCAAAGTCCAGCCTAATTTCTTCCCTGTGCACCCCTTGGGCAGACTGCCACCAGGACATCGGGTTTGCAAAGAAATCATCGGTCATGTCAGCAGGGAGGTGGGAGTTATCAGGCTGGTTGGCATTGCACTTGGTGCAGCGAGGCTGCCCGCAGCCGTGAGAGGCTGGATGGAGGATGCTTTGGTCTGGGTAGGAGCAGTATAGCTCTGTGCTGTTCTGCCCGCACGTGGTGAGAGTGCTGGGTGTCCTCCCTGTGGCCAGGTTTCCCACCGGAGGGTTGCAGGAACGGCCGCTGCAGCGGAAGGCTCGTAGCCTCACGGGATCTGAGAGAGACAAAAGAAACAACGCTAAGCAGAATTTCTCAAACAGCTCTCAAGCTGTAAAACAGGAGACTGTGCAAAGGTTTGGAGTCCTCGTGTGGGGATGGACATCCAAGAGGACTTCTCAGGAGAGCTACTTCATCCTTTCACATGAAGTTCGGGGGGAGTTTCTCCATACATCTAGGCCTTGTTTTTAGGTGCTTGACTTGGAAATGGAGGTATTTAGGGAATAGCTTTTACCCACAAGCACTTGAAAGTCCTTGATAGCTGTTGAAAACACAGTTGCATTAGTTAAACATATAACTTAATACACTCTTTTGTTTTCTTACTCTCACTCTAGTACAGCTGCTCATCTGAGGACTGACTCTATGCAAAGCATTTATTTTCACTGTAATCAGAAAGGAAAACTGAATTGTACTCTGTCTTACAGATACATTAAATAAAGAGATGATTCCTCCCCAGATAAATTACACTATTTACACAGGAAAACACATGAAGAAAGCATTTCTCTCCATAGTTATGTCTTACTGACCTAATTTTGAGAGGTGCTGAATTTCTCACACTCCTACTGAGATCAGGTGAAGCTGCAAATGCTTGGCAGAGTTGAAAATAAATTCTCTCTTTTGTTTAAACACCTTGACACGGAGATAGATGAATGTATTCTATTTGCCAAATTGGCAAATACTGACAAGAAAAGTTTTGGTATTTCCAATGTATGCATTTACTGATTTCTAAATTATGAAAGGGCAGAGATGCTGTTTGGATATTAGTGTTTTGTGACAACAGATTTGCAGGTCAGTCCTAAAATGTTACTATCAAACTGGAGAAAACTGCATCTGTGATGACATAGTGTTCTCCTTGCAACTTAACTGCCTAGAATGAGTTAAAGTCTGACCTTGCAAGGTCATAAATCTAATTCAAGAGGTTGCAAATCAGGTGACTCAATGTATGTCCTACAGGAAATGACCCTTCCAGTGAAACACAGAATGACCATAAACATGGGCTAATATAGGAGTAGTTCAAAAGTCAGCTATTAGTTCAAGATTCTAGCTGAAATTTTAAAATCCCTACTCAATTTATACTTGGTCTTTCCTGAGGCAAAATAGAATTTCAAGTCTGGTTAGGCCAAAGAAAGTACTTTTTAATTCAGTCTTACAACAATTACTCAAATTGTGAATGTATTTGGGTGAAAACAGATCTTATTCTTTCCCAGAAGATTGGATGCATTTTGTCACCTGAGACAACCTGCCAGTGTTGCTTCTGAATTGCCGTTCTCAGTTCCTCAGTGACGGTTCTGCACAGGCAAGAAGAGTAAGGGATGAACATTATTCTGGAAAACATCTCATGCATTAAGTACTGCAGCCTTCCAGTACTTAAAAGGACCTCTTCAGACTAACACCACTGCCAGCACAGAGATGAATTTTCATGGGGAAAGGCTTTCAGAAGTCAGCTTGTAAGAAAAGAGATGATGTTGATTCTATCAGTTCTGTTCTTTGTTCCTCCTCTTCAACTGAGCAGTTGGTTCTTAGCACTACTGGAGATCCTCCACCAAGACCTCACACCATCCTGGCTGCTTGGTGACCATTTCAGTGTATTTTCTTTCTGATTGTAAACTTCTTATTCTATCTGAGGCTAGCAGAGGTTCAGAGATTGTTATTTGTAAGGTAGCTTGCAATTTCTGAGTATTTCACAAGAAAGGCTACACAAGAAAGGCCTCGGTTTCTCACAAAATATATTTAGAGCTTTCTTCTTTTTGCAGAACAATCAACACTCCAAATCCTTCTGCTCTGAAAAGTAAATGTCACTGAGTCGTGCAGAGTTTCTAAAATAAAGGTAAATCCACCTTGCAGGTCAGCAAAAATATAATGACCTGCAACTGCAATGTCTCAAGAAGGTCTTTGGAAGTGGCACTTAGACACCAACCTAGTCTGACTTGTTCATGTCTAATCTCTGGTAAAAATTATTGGGAATGAGAAAAACACAGCAGTTTCTGTGTTTAAAGTAAATTGGATAGTGAGTGATTTAGTTCAGTGCAATGGTAAGGTATTGTCTTTGCCTCCAGAGAATTTTAGTGGGACCAGTCTTATAGCTGTGTTTTGAACAAGCATTAGCTCTGGATCAGTCTGGACAAGAGGTCTAGATTGCTTAGTTTTGACCAAGAGAGGACTCATGTTACAAACATTATTGGGTTATAGATTACTATAATTAAAAGGAAGTCCATCTTTGCTAATGCATCACACTATGGATGCTTTCACAGAGCAGATGGTATGCTGGGGTTGTAACTATAAGAAGTTGCATCAGGGAAGCTTTGCAGACAACAATGTGAGAAAGCAAAAAAGGAATGGCTGCTTTCTGTATTTCCCATAAATGGACAATCAGTCTTATATTTTTTTCAGCTGAGTCTGGAAAAGAAGGAAGAATGTGGTTGTATTTCTGAACAAAAGTCACAAGAAAGCTTATCTGCACTGCCTGTTAATGCAGCCACATCCATAAACAGTTCCTGTTCAAACTGCTATGTCATTAGAAAAATGGGAGAAGAGCATCATGCAAATTAACAGCAGGGAGTTTGAGAGAAGGAGAGATGTTGGACAACAAAATCTGCAGTCGATTAAAAGCTTTGCATTTAAAGAAATCAATTGGCAGAACATTGCTTGGCTACAAGGATATTGCAGCCTTTCCATCACTCACTGATTCTGTGGAAACAACATGAAATTTTGGAATTTGGACAGGTATGAGGACTGCTGCAGAAAAGAAACAGCAGCCAGGGGAGCAACTCAGAGGGCTCACTGAGTAATTCTTAAACACTTAACAGTTTGATTGTGTGGAGGTGCTGCATGTTATTGAAGTTGATTAGCTTTTCCTCCATGTTGGGCAGCTTGGCTCCATAAATGATATCATTAGTTTGTCTCTTTCTACTCTTTTAGAGCTCTATGGCAGAGTGGCAGACCAGAGGCACCAGGCACGTGTTGTAAGAATGATGTTACCTGATGAGTAAGGAGCCATTCATTTCAAGGAAGGTCACACTAGTGGTGTGACTGGGACACCATTTCAAACAGGCCTCTTACTTTGGAGCCTTGTAACCTTATGGATATTGATTAAAAACATGTTCAATTGGTTTTTAGATAGTAGTTTTGTTGTTTTTTTTTTTTTACCCTCCATTGGATATCCAACAGGAGAAAGGTCATATGGCATCTGAGTCAAAACCTGATGACCGGGTTGGAAAGGTGCCTAATAGTGTCTGTGTCATTTGAAGTGGGATTTTTATTCCTTTTCCATATGCAGAAGTCAGGGTTGTGTGTGTGTGTTTGAGTCACTTACAGTGAGACAGGAGAGCAACTTTCACAGACCTGAATAGAATGTGGCATCTTCTGCAAAGCTCTTGATGGAGCAGCATTTTCAGCATCCATGTCCAACCTAGATTTCACTTGTTCTGCATCTGGTTAACTTCTTAATAAGAAAAACTTTTAAAAGGTATTCTAAAACTAACCACCCTAGGGACATGAGTTGCTCAAGTTTTTATTAATCAGTTCTCAATGCTGGTGACAAGGGAATTGTTGTAACCCTTTGGTTCGTCTGAGGCCAACACGCAGTGAGTTGGCAAGTGGCCACACAGGAGTTTCCAGGTTGCTACAGAGTTCATGTGAGGTCAGTAAAGCCCTCCACCTGCATCAAACCTGTGTGACTCCTCCAGCCTAACTACCCCTTTCCATTGTATTTAAACATCTCAGGATCCAGTCTTGACAACTGTTCCTGCTTTCTCTGCACACAGATGGCAGAAGGCAGATATGGCTGTGCCCACAAATACTGCACTCCATGCACTCCTCACACAACCAGCAATGTGTTTCACTTCTGACCAGGACGGACCAACTATAGTGCTGAAAAGGGAACTGACTGCATAGAGCAAAGAAATATATCAAAGACATACTTCTCTGTACACCTGCCTGCTCAGGAAAAGGCTGCATTTGTTTCACACGGATGGGCTAAATACTGTCAGAGACAACCTTAATCTCAGCAATGCTGATGATGCCTCTGGTAGGACCTGTTAAGACTGAAGGTTGATTCAGGATTTTTACCTTGCTTCTTTAAAAAAACAAAAAACAAAAACCAAAACAACAACAACAAAAACAACCAGAAACAAATAGAATCAAGAAAAGAATTGAAAACCAACAGGTAGCCGTTGTGCTTTCATGAGCTGGTGGTTTGTGCAACCTTTTGACCATGCAATGTATATTTATTTAAAGTGATTGTGAATCCTTAGTGTCATCACCTTTGATATCCAATTATTTTGCCATTAATCTCTGTGATCTAACACCATTATTCTGAGAGTGCTTAGCTCCATGCAGAATGCATCCAGTCCCCTTAAACTCATTTTCCAAGCAGTCAGCTGTGGGCTGCATTTCCTCAGAGATTCATTTTCACTTTGTGACTTGGATGCAGAGCAAGTTCAGTTTGGTTTATAACAAGCTGCTTTCTACAACAGCATCAGCAAGTTCATAAGATGTCTCTGTAACCCTTCTGTCCTGTGTGTCAACGTATGTATCTTAAAGGGAAAGTCCCAGCCTGGGAAACTAATGAATGCCCAGGGTAAGTCATAAGAGCACAGAGGTACCACATCCTCCCTCCAATCATTCCCTGCAGTGTTGTGATAGCTGAACTTTTTCCCAAGTGAGTCAGAGGAGGATCTGGCAGGATTATAAATTTATGAGCTGTTTTCAGTTTTTACAAAAATATCTCTCGTGCTTACGGAAACCTGATGTCAGTGTCATCAAAAAGGTTCTAACTACACCATAGCCTGAGCTGAAGTCACCTGGTGTGCCTTTGGCTTTCAGGAACCTGCATGACATCTGAGCACTTGAGTCTCTTTAAAAGCACCACGAGGAGTGTTGTACCTGTCCCAGTACTCTGAGTGCACAGGTGGAATTTAAACTACCAAGATTCTTTGCCTTACAGAGCTCCCAAACCACTGTCCCACTGGGATGTCACCAAGGTCATATTGTTTTATCAATGCTTCCTTTTGTTTTTTCTCATCTGACCTACACAGTTCTTTCCTTTTAACCTTAAAGATGTATTAAACCATAGGAAGAAGAAAACAATCCAATGCTTCGCTTTCTTTCCCTTAAGGAATTAGTCTCCACCATAATCCAGTTATTTGTAGAACCCTATGTAAATGCCAGTACTGCTATACCATTCCTATATGTGCTCGTTTGTACACCCACATACACACACAACTTACTGCTCTTTCTGTCCTAGTTCATTTTTTTTTCTCTAATGCTCATTTAATCCTATCCACTGCATGTTAACTATCAAAGCAGGGAGTACCCCGAATGAATGGGTTGTCTTGGATTAATGGTAATTCAGTGTCTCTGACTTTTAATGATGCAAAATGAAGTTAACAGATAAAAATTCAGATCCCTTCAGTGGTGCTGTCCAAGGATCTTGTCATTTTATTCTTGTCCTGCCTAGGAAAGCAGTGTTTCTTCCTCAAAACAAACATCTAGCGTATCTCAATCCATCCACCTCTTTAATTTTTCTCCCATCACAAAAATAATACTTTCTTAAAAATTATCTTGAGAATATATGAAACAGTACTTTCTATTGTAAGTCTTTGGGATGAGGCTGAGCTATAAAGCAGTGTATTGCAGGGAGTAAGAAGCATTTGTATACATTCACTAGCCCAGATTCCTTGCGAAATTCAATCTAAATAATGATTTAGACATAAAAAAGAATTACTATGCTTCACAGGTTTGATTTCTATTCCCTTTCTGCTTGCCCAGCTTAGGATAAATTGTTTCAGGAATGGCAATATTGATTTATTTGACTTACCTGCTTCTCCATGGCCAGAAATAAAACATTCCAAGAACACAATCAGCATGATGCCTTTATGCTGCATGGCTGTCAGTAAAATATCTGTCCTTAGTGAAGCAAAAATAGCTGCAGTAATCTACAGGTTTGGTGCTTGCATGGCTTTCCTGCGTTGTCTTTCTTTCCTTCTGCTCACCTTCCCCTCAGTGTAGGGGTCAAGGCTGCTGTCTCATTCTTGTTTTCCTTTTGGATCTGGAGGCTTTTCTTCTTCTTTTTTTTCCCCTTCAGGGCTCAGATGCCTTCTGGGTGTCACCCGTACATCGCTTCCAATAAATAAATAAATAACGGGGACTTTCGGTGCTTTCACCCGCTCCGCGCAGCGGGCCGGGGCCGCTCACATCCCCGCTGCAGCGCCGGGGATGCACCATGGGGAGCTGATGCTGCGCAGGAAGAGCTCCGTTCGCTCCGGGCTTTTGCGGCTCTTTGAATGCTATTTCGAAACTTTCATTTCTGCTCCTGGCTTTGCCGGAGCCTCCCCTACTCCTCACCCCTCCCGCTGTCAGTCGGGGTGCCGATAGGGTCCGAGCCCTGCTTTGTTAGCGGCTCTGCCTCGGTACCTTCTTTCCCTTTGCTCCCTGCAGCAGAGGGTTATAAGAAGTGAGTTGTTGGTTGTTTTGTTGTTGTTGTTGATTGGTTGTTGTTGGTTTTTGTTCCCCTCGCTAAGCGATGATGAGAAGCAAGTGCTTCCTTGGCTCTTCTCTCTTTTTATTTTGCTTTGCTTTATTTTAGTTTATTTCCGCTGTCACGGAAGCCGCTACTCCCCCGGCTGCCAGGGATTTGCTTTACACAGGGAAGCGTGCGGAGGGACTGAGCGAAAAACCCGATCTCGAGGGCTGCTCTCCGGGATCGCGGGACCCCGCCGGCCGTGGCCGCTGTGGTGCCCGGGGCGAGAGGGGAGCGAAGGGGCCGGAGGGCAGTCCTGGGGGCTCGGGGTCCTACCCTCCCTCCCGGGGTCGGGGAGTCGTTCAAGTTTTCCCTCTGCCTCCCTTTCAGCCTCTAAAGCTCATCTCTAGCTCCTAACGGGGCAGTTCTCTGGTCCTGTCTGGCTGCAAAGGGGATTATTATAACATGTGATCTTCCTTTTCTTTATATGTGCTTGTTGGTTTTTTTTGTTTTTTTTTTTTTTTTAGGGTGGAGGAGGAGAATGGATCGGTTCCGCACCTCCTCGCCGGTGTTGCGCTGCTCCTCGCTGCGCTCAGACGCACGCGTTGTTCTACAGCCGCACGTCCTCCTCCTCCTCGTCCAGGAGCCGGGCTGTGCGTGTCCGTACGTGTGTGTGTCCGTGTGTCCGTGCGGGGCGGGGGCAGCCTCTCAGCCCGCCCCGGCCGCTCCTGCTGTCCCTTGTCCCTGCAGCACCCTCTGCCCGCCCGCCCTGCACATGACAGCCGCCCTGCAGCGGGCGCTGCCCGGTACCCCATAGGCGTACCCAGAAAGGCGTGGGGATAAGCGAGGTGGTTTTAGGGTTTTTAATTGCTCGGGCACTCAAGTCGAGTTTCTTTCCATCAACGCAGATGTGAGCTGGGACAAGTCAAGCAGTGAGGGGAATTGTGATTTTCTGTGGTGTCTGCCCTGGTACCGCTGGCACATCTGCCTGCCTCTGGTAGCACCAATCCTCACCCTGAATCCTAGCCCTGGATTTTGTTGGAGTTGGTCATTCCCAACGCAAAACTCCCACAGAGCCTCCAACACTGAGGGTTAAAGTACTCTGGTTCTGATGCTCTGCCTTATAAATAACGTTAATTCAGGGAGTGAGCCCCTCCCACAGCTCCTCCAGCTTCCTTCTTTCTGTGGCGGGTGCCCCATCCCTGGAGGCATTCAAGGTCAGGCTGGAGGGGGCTCCCAGCACGTGATTGAGCTGTAGATGTTCATCACAAGGGAGATGGACTAGATGACCTTTAAGGGTCCCTTCCAACTCAAACGATTCCATGATCCTTTGGTTCTTCAGCTTATAAAGTATCGACTTCTGCTTGGTGTCACAAAGGGAAGCTCAGTGGGAATAGTCAAGGTTATTCTTGTGCCCATGTATGCATAGAATCAGAACCTTGGGAGGGAATTGCAAAGTGTGAGTCGCAGAAAAAAGAATAAGGAAAGATTTCTGTAAGGCATGGTTATTTATTGAGGTATTGAAGTAGATCTTTCTGTATTGAAGTAGATTTTTCTGACTTTACCCTCATCTTCCTATTTTTATATGTTTTTGAATAAGAAAACCAAATAGAAAATGTTGAGATAAGAAGGAGAATTTCCCCCTCCTTTTTGTCTTTGCCTTTTGTTTGAAAACAGTTACAATAATGTATAATCACAAAGCACAGTTCTCTGCCGTACGTGACAGCGTATCCTTCAGAAGGTTTGAGTCTGCTGTGTGCTCAGCTCCCCTGGGACATTCTGAGTTCTTTCAACTCCAGCATCTTCAGTGGGAGCTGGGGATGCACAGTGTGTCCTAAAGCTAAAGCCAACGTGACATTAATGAGCTGTCATTTAATAACCACGCTTTGTTCTCTTTGGTTGTCAATTGCTGCCTTTGTGGAAAAACTGCATTTATTTATTTATTTATTTTATTTCCACAGTTTAGGTGGATTATGTAATGATTACTAACTGAAATGCTTCTCCCAGATAATTTCATCAGACTTAAACTATGGCACTTGAGAAAAATTCCCTGGCCGTGATTGTAGTTCTGTGGATGCAGTAATAAAGGTCAAGAAGCTCCTGTGTAATTTATACAGCAGCTGAAAACAGGGAGCAAAGTTCATGGTGCTCTTTAAGTGGGAAGTCAAAGTGAAGCATATTCATTTACTTCTGATGTCTGGATGGCAACACCGTAAGGCTGTCCAGCTCTTGTTGATTGTGGGCTATAAAAAGCATTCATTCCTCTTCCCTATTATTGCCTGTCTTCGAGAAAACTGGTACAAGGGCTTAATACTACTGAAATCCAGGCATGCCTGTGGGCTAAGAGAAGCTAACATCTAAGGGGGAAATGTTGCTGTTATCCTTGACATCTGCTGTTGTCCAGGGGATGGACACCTGGACTGCATCTGAGAACAGCCCATACCCAGGGTGCTCAAACAGAGATTGTCCATCTTTGTGGGTGTGAGCAGTGGCATGAATAATGGTTAGTTATAGTTGGCACCTCAGCTATAGAAAGGTGAAAACACAATCCTCGTGGTCTCGGGCAAGGTTTGTGCTGCACAATATGACTCCCTGTGGGAATTGGATGACTGGGAAAGTGACTGACTGCTCTCATGGCTCAGCACAGCTCCTGCTGCAAAGCACCCAGAGAAGAAACTGCAAAACTGTGAATCATTCATTTTGGGGGAGGGCAGAAGAGCCAATGGCACAGCACAAATGGGGTAGGTGTGTCACCTGCACTGCCTGCCCTCTGTGCTCCAAAAGCATTTCCAAAGCCAGAGGACGGGCTGTCATCTGTAGATACCCCAGAGCAGGATACATCTCAATTGCTGTGCATCTTGCTTGCCTGCAGCCCTTGTTCTCCACTCCTCACGCCTCTCCACTTTGCCTCTCCTTTCCTCCTCTATTTCCTTAGCAGCCATGGTTAGCCTGAAGGACATCTGTCGTGGCCTTCCTCTAAACCCTTTGCCTGAAAACAGAGGTCGGAGGAAAGGAATACCCCATGCACCTGTGAGAACCCCTAATCTCACTGCTCAGGAGAAAAAGGTAATGTGGGGTTTCACAAGGCTCACTTCTCTTCCTTTCAGATAAATGCAATGGGGAGTGGCATCAAATGCTTTTCTGAGCGTGGGCAAATGTATTTCCTTTGTGTTATAACTTCAGCAATGGGACAAAATACTGGAAAATCTTCTGCTCTCTTTCTTTTTGTCTTTCTCCCTTGATTGATATGAAGATCTGCTGCACAACAGCTTGCATGACTTTAAATGGCTGAAGAGGCCTTAACTTCAATGCTGTCAGTCCAGCATTGTTTTTTATGAATTTATGAAGGCTGTTGCAAAAACACTGTGTATTTATGGGAGTGAACGCTAACCCCTCAAATACAGTAAACATGAAATGTGGCAAATTGACATCTTGGTACAAGTTACTTATCTACATGTTTGCATAACGACCCAGAGATGATTTATTTGAACCAGTAGTCTGGAACATCCTGGAATTGAGACAAGTTTATAAGGAATTGAGTTAATTATTTGTCTTACGTTGTGTAATTCTTTTCCAGTCTCTTTTTGTTTAAACAGTGTATGTACACATTAAAGCAATCATTGCAGTATTTCATGTTAGAGATTAAAAAAAATACCTGCAGAAGAAAATAATGGTCAGTGGGTAGAGATCCTTAGGAACTGTGTTGAGGAGAGGACGAGGTGGGTTCTTTAGCTTGAAAGCCTGTGCTTCGTCACATGGCATAGCTGACAGTGTGATTTTCTGGTCAGAACACAGAAGTTCCTCACCCACACTGAGCTGCGTGCAACTTTCTTGCCTTCGTGGGAGTTCCCCCTGGCATTAGCACTGAAATTGTTTCAAAGCCCATTTCCAGAAGCAGAGGGGAGATCATTCTCTGGGTAGGGAGAGGAGCAGCTGTGAGATATCCAAAGAGGATTTACTCCAATGTCAGGAGCGTTCGTGGTGGAGGCATTTCAGTCTGTGCCTGGACAGTCTGTGCTCAGACAGATGGAAGTGTGGCTTGTGAGCGTGCAGAAAAAGGGGCTGGGGAGATGGATGTGAAGATAAAGGAGTGGGGAGTGAACTTCACTGCATGGCAACACATTGCCAAACGTCCCCATCTTGTTCCCCGCCTTTGCTCAGTCATTTTTCCCTGAGGAGTGTACTGTAGCACAAGGAAGTCCTTACTGCAGGACAGGAGATGGTATTTCTCTCAGAGCAGTGCTGTCTACCTGAAGAAACGCTGGTAATGACAAAGCCCTCACTGCCTATATGGAAACTGGGATTGAATGCCCCCAAAGCATTGCAAGGAGACAGCGGTAGGCTGCTTTTCTGGTTCCAGCCTACTGTCTTACATCCCTCCCTCAGCTCTCCTTCTTATCTACCACATGTGATAAAAGGTCATGCTGGCTCGGTTTTTTATTAGCCTGTTAAAAATTTAAAAGCTTCCTTTCTGATTTGCTTTACTCTTAATCCTCCACCTTCAACTCTTAACAGGGTTAGAGGCTCAGCTAGTATTTATTTTATATCTGAGAGGCTGAATCTCCTTTTTAAGAAGTGTTTCGTGCTTAGGACAGGTTGTCTGTCTTCAAGGTGGTTTTAAAGTCTTGAGACAGGCTTCCAGATCTTGTTGGCAGTGTGTAATACTGAGCACATTGCGAGGCTTGTCTTTACTCATAACACTGTGTTCATTTTCTAATCGAGGTGCTCACAAAAGCTTTGACAGAATGATGCTCTGTTAATTTCCTCAGACTAGGGATCTGTCCCTCTGTTCACATGCCTTCATTCCAATTTTACCCTTTTTCACAATAATAATCCTTAGCACTGCTCTTTTTTTACTTTCTTGGGCTTCCTTTTTTGGCTACAGTAGAAATCCTTTAAGCAAGAGTTACACATTTCTGCATGTTTTGGGGCTTGCCGAAGAGATATACTATGCTTCCTATCATATCAACTCTAATCTCTTTGGATAAATCAAGCCATTTCTCAGAACTGATTTTTTGTTTATGTTTCCTGAGTCGTCTTTCTCCTGCATTCTTTGCCTGAGGCCTGTAGCAGCCACTTCTTCTCCCTTTCCCTCTATGGCTCAGGAAACCCCAGTTTTCTGTTTCTCAGCCTCTGTATCCTTATGTAAATACACTGCAAGGAAACAGCCCTTAAATATTATGAGTGGTGCTTCCTTTGCAGAACAAGGACACTGCACTCTTGGTACTCACTGACATTCTATTAAAGCTGGTGCAACCTGGGAAGAATGCACACTTCTCAGTCTTGCAAAGAATCAGAAAAATGCCTATCCATGGGCTGTAGGCTGACTTGGTCTTGGGCCTGTCTTGCCTTTATTTGCTTACCTGGTGAACTCTGAGCCATCGTGGTAACCATCACTTGATCCTAACTTGCTTTCCTGGCCTCCAGGCTTGGACATCACCATGATGAGCTGATTTCTTAGAGATGCTGAGCAATAGATGCCAATCAGACTGCTGGCTGAGGAAGCTACAAACAGAAACACCTACAGATGAAATGCCCACAGTCTAATATCAGAGGGGAATGTGTCAGCTATGGGTACATTTAATCTTGAAGATCACAATAGCGCTTCATACAGTGCTTTAATGAAACTTAAGGAATAATGGCCAAGTGTTGCCTTTCCTTGAAAGCTTGATGATAAGTCTATTTGAATTTGCTCCTTAAGTGCCTTTCTCGGGTTATTCAGTTTGACTCAGTAATGAATATGCA